CTAACCCTAACCCTAACCCTAACCCTAACCCTAACCCTAACCCTAACCCTAACCCTAACCCTAACCCTAACCCTAAAAGCTGCCACGACAAGAAGCTTTCCCCTCAGCGCGAGACCTGCTACCATTTCCGAGATTAGCATGGGGTTGGGCGTCGTAGCGACAATCATGTCAGCCTCGCCCAGAGTTTAAAGCCTTTAAACAGCATTCTCCGCCTTGGTGTTAATGTACTCATGCGCCCCAAGTTCACTGGCAAAAGCCTTCTTGGAGATTCCAGAACTCAAAGCAATGGTCCTATATTGGGCCGAGGTTCAGATGATTGTCATCTGTGATAGGTATACTGAGGGATTGCCAAGGAATTCTCATGTTTGCCGGCCCAGGCTCCCACCTCGACGACCTGAAGGAACTCAGTATGACGCATGGAACATGTTACGGACCAGCAGGACAGGGATTCAATACCCTTTCTGGAACCCGCCATGCCTTGACAGCCAAGTCTAATACAGGTTGAACTTTGTGTTAATAATTATAGCAACCAACTCTATCTTACACCCCCACACCACTCACACCCAGGCCCTGGACTTACCGGGACTATGGTAATGGTGATCTGACAACAGTTTAAGTCCGTAAATCCGCATTCGGCTTGACAAAGTTCAGAAGGAAATTCTGTGAAGTACTGCCAGTCCCCTGGGCTTCAGCGTGACCGTTCCGTCTTACTCCTCCAACGTCCTCATTTTACCCCGTCCACGGATTTGTTCCCTAATAGGCATGTATCTCGTCACTGTATACCGAAAAGTGCGCAACAGAGGCCCAACCCATGAGAGAGGTAGACCAGTTATTTAAAGCACAGCCTGTAGGCCCTCGCGATTGTACTTGGCGTGTACTTGGCGTACAGCTCATCTACTATAGCCACGCAGCCGGCTGGCATGATCCCGCGTTGTAGCTAAATTTTTGATCACGCTGAGCGCCGGAGACAAGCTAGGGGCATCGTCAGAGATGTTACAGCCGACGATGAAAGAGATGATGACGCCAACGTATGTTGTGGATGCGCCATGCCCGACGACTTCCTTTGACTTATCTTGGCTGAGAACCACGTGCCGTCCGAGGTGCCATAATGTCCCTCGCTCTAGATTACCTCGTGTCACAAGCAATCGCTCGGTGGACCGGCTACAGCTTCTACACGGAGCATGGAAATGCTGTAGGCGGGCTTACCCAGAAGCCGGCTAGTTTTAGACTTCGGCTACAACAGTAGCATTGGAATTGCCTGAGTGGCCTGACCGTATAAGTCCAGGCTAGACAATTCCGCATTATTGTTTTCTCGGTGTTCTATACACTCAATCACTGGGAGTTGCTATGTAGCTGGAACATAATGTTTGCGAAGAATACCAATTATTTAAATAGATTAGTACCATGTTTCACTATAACTAAACAATTCCTGAGTAACCTTGGAACACAGAAGAATCGCGTTCTTCTAGCCTGTAAAGAAGTCAAGGATTTGCAAATTTCCAGCACTATCCTGTGTACAGGTCAAGTTTCACTTGTCTATGTTTGACATGAATGGCCATATTTTCAGCACTACAAAAGATCTGATTTATCAATGATCTAAAGTTACAGAAGTTGCTTCATCTAAGTCCTTCTTGGAAAGACCGAGAAGATCGTTGTGACTATCGTAGGTGCCGTCTGTACCGCAGTGCTTGGGGCGAAAATTGCTTTTGCGAAGCTAGCCGGGTTGCCCTCAAAGATCAACTTCGTGCCGTCTTCGTGTCTTTCCTTACTCGAATCGTAAGATACACGCCACTGACTTTCCTCCTTGCCTGTCACCCTCTTGATGCTTTCGAGAATATCCGCTTGGCTGAGGTGGGAACTTGAAACGTAAACTGGCTTGTTGAAGAACTGGGAGAGAGTCACAGACTTGTCGTTCTTATTATCTAGAAGAACCTTCAGGCTCACCAAGGCGACAGCTGCACAAACAAGCTGTGAGATCGTCGTAAAATTAATGGACTTCTTGCCGTCGTTAAAGAACGTAGCAGTACGGTTCTTTTTATCGATGCCGAGCAGCTCTGCACCATATGACAGACTGGTCCCGTGCCAAGGGCCCGTGAACATGGAGAACCACGTCAACCCAGAATGTGCCGCGTGCTCAATGTTTTCAACGATGGCTTTGCCTACTAGGAGCGCTCGCGTCCTGCATACCTGGCTTCCTGTATACATCAAGACCGCATGCATTGGTCAGAACGTATTGCTCTCCAGCCTTGGCAGCCGCCCCGACCAGCTTCCGGTGCGTATTCTCAGGGGCTCCAAGAGCCGGTGTTACAAGCAAGAACTCGATACCTTTTAGAGCCGCGACAATGCACGCCTGATTGTTGTACTCGACATTGATAGCCTTCGTGCCTGGAGCGATGCTGCTCTTGCTGCCGGCCCGTGCGATGGCCGTGACGGTGCACATTTGTGCTTGCCACCTTGGACCAGCTGCTCTGCGATGGGCTTTCCGATTTGACCTCCGGCCTTCATTATCTCAGTCCATCGAATCAAGGATTAGGCTGTTCGGGGCGGTCACACTCACTCCAACAATAGCAATTCTTTGGAGTCTGTTCACAAACCCGGCAGGCTGGTCTTCAGCGTATTGGGATGCCATGGAGTGTTCAGAAAGGAGTTTAGTCTCATAGAACGATCGGAACAGTTCGAAATGACGAATGTGCTCACTGTGTGAGATAGTACCAGAATACAACAACAAAGGATGTAGCGTGTCTGAAGTACCGTCGCGTCCAAGAGCTTTTGATTTCTAAGCGCCTCCTTGAGTTCTCCCGGCTGGGCTTAATTGCTAATGCAGACCTATCCTGTGGCTTTTAGATTAGAAAAAACGAAGTTTGCGCCACTAGTTGGCATGTAGTTCTGCGTTGGACGCTTAGCTGTCTGGAAACCCTCTAGTGCTCGATATTAACATGTCATAACCTCCAAAGTCAGGTAGGGTTAAGTCAACTTCAGACATGATCTTGGCCGGCGCCAGATTGCGTATTCCCGTTCCATTGCCGCGGTCACGGCCCGACTGGTACATTTGAGTCTTGCCATACCTGCTGGGAAGCCGGTAGGGGATGTAGCAACGAAAAGTCGCGCCCATCCTGTGATGGGCCAGGGTGCGGCAAGCTGTTTAAGTCTGGAGAAATGGCCTCCAAGAGCAGAAAATGCATACTTGTGAGTGATCGAAAGAATCTTCTTACCTTATTATGCTACTTATTTCGAATTAGTAGAGTTAGATGTGAGAACAGAACTCATTCAATGGAGAGGATAGCGTTTTTATAACAGCATTAGTGTCCGTTTTCCTTAACAAATTTGGGGGATTGCTAATCGGACAAATTTGTGCATATCCTTGAGTTCCTGCCCGAGTGAGTGAATGTGCGGCATTCCTGTCACTAATGAAACCTCGGCTACCTGAATGTAGTGTTCCCTTGACGAGGCTCGCGAGGTGAGCCTGTGTCCCATCACCACAATATGGCTATAATCGTGCGAGTAACCTTTCGCCCTGATCTCTCATTGGCTCCGGAAGTTGGCTGTTCATAACTTCTTGCAGAAGGCACTTGACATCACCTGCACAACCAAAGGCTAGACTCCAGCCGGCACCCCCATGACCATAAGAATGCACGACTCGGCTTATTTTTCCAGCAGGTGTCCACCGAAGCTCGCGCTCTACGCGGACATTTCTACCGCGAAAGGGCCGTAGTCCCTGGGCAAGTGGGTACTCCTTGTCGAGACGCGCGTTCTTCAGATCAGGCAAAAATGCTTCGCAACGGGCCCTCATTCGCTTGATATCTGGGTGGTCAATGGTAAGATTCAAGTTTTTCTGACCTGGCTGGACGATCCCTTATTCAGACTTTCAGCTTTTGGACCAGGACTAAGAGACAGGTGGGAGATGCGCAAGGACATACCTCCCAAGTACAGAATGCTGTCATTCCGCGGAACGATGAACACCATCTTGTTATCTGGCGCCGCATCTGCTGAGATAGCAAGGGCAGCCTTGACTTTTGGGAAGTCCTTTCCATCGTTGATCACACGGATCATGGCGCCACGGAGCGGGTAACAGCTGTCATCGTTAGCCACCGTGGCGCTTCCGAGCCCTGTGCAGTTGACGATGGCATTAGCACAGAAACGGGCGCGCAATGAGTCCTCAATCAGGAGTAGGTCCTCTTGGATCTCCTCAGTCACAAATATTGCCCCTTTCGCTGCCACGAGCTGCATTAGCCACTCCATAGCAACGTCGGTGTCAATTTGAGGAGACAGAATTTCGTATGCGTCCACAATACTATGCCGTGGATTCACGCGATGTTGTTCTGCCAGGGCTGGGTTCCGGCAGAATCCCTTTACGCCAGATATACTGAGTTCCTTCATCTTTTGCAATTCAGCCGGAATCTCGTCAAGCGAGCGGGGAAAGAAAAACCCCGCTGGTCTCATTACCACGCCAGACTTCATTTCGCCCATAATCGGGTCTGCAAGCTGATCCCAGATGCGGTACGATGTCATAGCCCATCGCTTGGAATGATGGAGAGAGGTTTTGTCGATGTGCTGACCGCATACTGCAGGTGGGTACTCCCAAAGAGCTCCAGCGATCTGGCTGGTCAGACGTTGAGCTTTGGTCCAAGACGCCCATTCTTTGGCTATTATCGTAACATTATGACCAGCGTCAAGCAGAGTCCAAGCGGTGGTAAGGCCTATGACGCCAGCTCCAATGACCAGAAAATGGTGAGAGGTCTCGTTTGGACAGGCCACGCGAGAGCGACTGGGGCTGATATCGTGATATAGACGAAGCGGTGCTGAATTCATGACGGTCTGGGAGATTCTCACTCGGAGTCGTGGCGTTAGGAAGTAACTGAGAAACGACGTTGGGAATTGACTAGAGATGAAGGCTATTAAACCTGAAATTAATTATATGGAGTACATTTGCTTTATATTCATTTATGAATGGTTTTCAAGGAGAATCTTCGTCCTGCATCATCTGCCGACAGTGTCCCCCGGAAGGATTCACGTGTGGATCTACATATCTGCCCATAATTCCATCACTAGGGGGGCACAGTAGTTAGCACCACCCTATATTTCGGTCCTCATATACGATTATTCCTAGAACCCAGAACTAGTAGGTGGGTCCATGAACATCAACAGGGCTTAGAGCCAAATCCTACTGTCGAAAAGCCCGAGATAGTGCCACCACTTTGTATCTTACTGAAAGCCTGCCAACGAGGGGCAATGTTCAGTGTGGTCTCTCTCTGCCCAAAAATGTCTACAGTGTCCCTCGCCGTTTTCATTTAGTATCTTATTGGTACTTTAATCACTAGGAATTATTATCAACTTTGCTTGTCTTCTTCTCAATTAACTATAAGCAGTGCAAACTCATCAAATATGAAAATGATACCTCTCAATATAGGAATAACTTAGGATATCGCAACACATACGCTGGCATTTACTAAACCCGTTATTTGTCACTACAACACATATGTATACAAATTCATGGCAGTATTGAATCCGAGATGGACGATTTGTAATCCGAAGAAAGGAAATGCTAAGAAAAAGAGGGTGGATTTCGGAAGGCACTAGGGTTTCTTGGACTGAAAACAGGTATTTTCTATTCGCCCAATCCTATTTGCGCATTTTCGTTTAATATGCCACTTGATATAGTGTGGATTTCCGTAGGATGTTGGATTCTACATTATGGATTACGTGATTTCTTACATGCATCAGCTCTTCTTCACCGGTTCCAGTTCGGTCCCGGGTACTGATGTTAGTGTGCCGCGTTGACGCTTGCGATGAACATGTCACCAATTCACACAAACAGCAGGTGAACAGCTTTGACTCATCTCGTGAAAGTATTCTTACGAATCCGCGGCTTATACGACACTTCGTATTACCGATGTCAGGATCGACTCGTAAGGCCCGCTTTATCGAAGTCAACCCAACCGTCCCTAGATACGCCCACCTGAATTCTCTTGAGGCTACCGTGCCGCCAACTCTTAGCTCTCCGAGACACTCTTCAAGGGATGCAGTATCTATTGTTCTCGGGTCAACTTCATTGAAATCATCTAAACCACCTTAGTTTGCTACGGTCTCTGTCCACGGAGGATAGAAGCTAGACCCCATTAACAGTACACGCGCTGTTTTAGCATATCAAACTTACTTACTCATACAACTTCAAAGATGCGATGCGCCAAACAAAATCGTATGGAGCATGAACGGTTTTGTCTAGACGCATATGGCCAGTTCAACTCATGACGTCTTTGACATCCGCATTGCGATGCTGGCCGGCAGAGTCGGAGCGGTTGCAATAGGGTCTGGTTAGGCAGCATAGTTCATTGTCCAAAACAGTACTGCAAACCGGGCCATGACTTTATGCCAACGTCGCGGCTATACAATGGCACATAACCACGGTCCTGACATGGAGATCCAAAATGAAAGAGGCAGCACTATTTGAACACGAAGGGTGTAACATGTCTAAAGGCTCAAAATTAATGTCAGATTCGTGGAAGGCGACAATGCCAAACTAGTTCACGCAGGCAATTGGCCAGAACACTCGCTCCGTTCATATTGAAACTATTTCAAACGCGAAGCACAACATCTCAAACATTTGGAAATTCATAGACGTCTACCATAGGCACGGCATACCACTCATTGTCAATAATACCTTCGGCATGGTCGGCCGCTCGCTTAATCCATCACGTCTGCTGCTGACATTGTGGGTCATTCAGCGACCAAGTGGATTCGTGACCATGGCATCAGCGTGGACGGTGAGGCCATTCATGGGGGCCACATTGACTGGTCTGTATTGGGCAAGTTTCTTGAATTACTGAGCCGTTTGATTGGTATTACAGCATTGATTCTAGGAGAATTATGGCTGCAAAGCTCTTCCTGCGAAGCTGCGGATGGATGCCATGCGCGACTTGGTGCCCTGCATGAGCCCGTTCAAAGCCTCGGTATTCCTTCAGGACTTAGGGACCTTGGCGCTGAGGGGCAAGAAGCATTTTGAAATGACTCATTCGTTGGCCGAGTAGCTCGAATCGCACGATTGTGTGAGTTGGTTCCTCTACCCAGGCCTTACAAGTCACAAGGACTGCAAGCTCACCGAACAAACCACGCCAAACGGCAAGGATGGCGCGGGTACCGTCTCAGTGGTGCGTTGATCCCGACCCCCTGACCCAACTTCCAACAGAGGTGGCTGCAGCTCCATATTCTGGACAAATCGGCGGGCTCTTTTTCCTCGGGTTCCTGGTGGGCTTGCTGAGCCGTAAGAGTGCAGTGGGCTAGGTGCGAAGAGCTCGACCAACACGCAGCGGCAGTTCTGCTCGCTGATATCATTGGGTAAGTGACCAGACCGGCACTGCAATAGACCTTAACGAAATCACAGAAATGGTCCCGCTGAGTGGTTAGGAATAGGTGGCCGTGGCTCTTATGACCCACTCTGTTCGGCGCCGACTGCGACTCGGATCATGTGTGTGTCAATTTCATGGTTGACCGACCTTGACAGGCACTTGCAGCATTCAGGGCGGCAATGTTGACTAAATCCGTGGCGTGATTGACAATCTTCGCTTTCGTACGTATCAAGAACCGTGTAGTAAAGCAGAAAACATATTTTTTTCAATGCTTTGAACGGTTTTATAGAGTTCTGGGTGGTATAGAAGATTGCAGGTGATAAGATGAGGACTGTTGGGACCTCGTTTGTTGCAGTCCAGGTACTGGTTTTGCAATCCTATATTAGGAAGGTTGTGGGCTTTTAAATTAGGATCTGGGGGGTTGGCGAGTGAAGAGCTTGCTCTCATACTATGTGTCTCATTTCCCATGGGAAGCGGTTGAAGGAGGGGAAGGAAAGTTTTTCGTCTTTGGTGTTAGACTCTGGTGCTCGTTTGCAAAACTGTCTTCTTTAGTCTGCTAAAGGTCCAGTAGTAGTTGAATTTCGATTATTCATGAATGCTCTTTAACCATCACGTCTTGAATACTAACTGATCAGCTCTTGGAAAGTTGTGAGAATGTACTCATTTGCTAGAGCGGAATCTAAGAATTGCTTCGACTTTGTGTTATTTGGCCCGCGAAAAAGTGCAGATTGTATGATTTGGGCGCGAGGAAACCCATTCCCCACGGCCTCAGGTAGATTTCTTAGGCTCTTCAGCCTTCTTAGCCTCCTGAATGAACCAGGCGCCCGTCTTCTCGATGGCTTCGGACATGGTGACCTTTGGCCTATATCCCAGGATTCTTTTCGCCTTGCCGCAGTTCAGAGTCCGATGAATGCAGGCATACCGCACGGTCTGCCTGCTTAACACTGACTGTCTTTTCCCAAAGGATGTGGCCCATACCCACCATTCAGCAATGAACCCCATCAGGAAAGCCAAGCCTAGAGGAATGATTTTAATGTCCTTCTCCTTCACGGGGTACCCTACGGACGCAGCTCCAGCTCGCTGATAATCCCAGAAGCGCCAGTCGTGGTCTTCGTCATTCGTGATGAAGAAAGCCTCGCCGTCAACGCGCGACTCCGGTAGTGTTGGTGGTTTCCCATAGGCGCGGACGAGGGCTTCAGCTGCCAAGATGTGAGCATCGACAAGGTTTCCGACGTATGCATACGAAAACAGGTTTTTGCCGTCGCCGATCTGGATATTGGCTCGTCCGGCCCTTGCTTTGGTGACGATGGACCAGAAGTTGAGGTAGTCCCGTTCGCCGAAGGTAGAAGCCGGACGAAGGATGGCTGTCAACAAAGATGCATCGCCGTCTGCCCGATTGGCCGCGCGAACTTTGTCCTCGGCTGCGACCTTGGTCAAGGTGTAGACGTTCTTCTGTGCAGGGTATCGAAGTATAGGAAGCGATTCATCGGCGTCCAACATGTTGGTCTCATGATTGTGGATGACCGATGAGGTAGAAGTGTAAACGAATGCTTGAGTATGTGCCGCCTTGGCAGCCAGGAGAAGGTTGTGTGTCCCATCGACGTTGACGCGCTGGAAGCGGGCATGATCGTGGGACAGAGGATCCGGAGAAACGACGTGGAAGACGACTTTGGGCTTGATCTTGAGAAAGGCGGACCTTACATCATCAGCGGACGTGATGTCGCAACTGTGGTAAGTGGCCCCTGGCATTCGATTGCGGCCAGTATCGACGTCAAGGATGTGCACTTGACATTCGGGGTCCTTGAGGAGAGTCTCGGCTAGATGAGACCCGAGAAACCCACAGCCGCCGGTGACTATGGCGGGACTAAGGGAAAGGCGTTTGGTGTCATTAGCCATTCTGTCTGCCGGTGATGTTGAAACGCTGAAGCGCTATAACAAAATGCGACTCGGGAGAAAGATGTGGTCGTGAGAAGGTGAGACCAGCCTCTGTCGATTCTGTTCGCCGTGCCATCCAGCAACGAAATATCTGCACGGGCCACCCCTGCAAGCCTAACTTCAAGGCGGTGCGGGCAGCTCACCCGGCTGCTGGGTTTTCTTCTGCAACGACCCCAGAATGAACGCAATCACGCACTAGGATAATCCTTGAACCGCCCCCATCTTCATGCATTCATGTGCATTCACGCTGTACCTTTTGAGTGAGCATGAGATCCAAATACTGGGTGCAACATCATAGGGGTCCTAATGCAGTTGCGAACCTCTAATCCAAGCAAGCCAGACGGTTGAACTAGCTACAAAGCCAAGTTTGCCTAAATACAACCTGACGTTGGCCCTAAAAGATGTATTTTATCTACGGCGAAGGATATCGGGGAGCATTTCTTAGTATTCTAGCAGCGTTCCTACCTAGAGATTCGTACCAAGTTTACTTGGAGGAAGTCAAGCGCTTTCTAAACACGAAAACCACCCATGGCAGCTGACGTAGCTAAGCCCTCTTCCAGAAGCTGCTTAAAGTCTTTAGGCAGTAACTCGTCAGTCTTCTGCAAACCAGTGTAGGTCGAGGGACAGATTTATAAATAGAACGACAGGTTGGGGTCGCAGTGAGTTAAAGGACCTCTGGGTCAGCCCTAGATGCATGTGAAGATCGGGGGCAAACGAGATGAATCGTTATTACGATATCTGCAGGGGGGGGGGGATGGCACATCTTGCCTTTTGGGCTCTCCCAGCCATCAGGCGAGTGATGTTGTCTCAGCTCAGCTAGTCCCATTTCTCAAGACCCATACCAAAGCTCGTAACTGGCACGAGCCCCATCCCATGCAGCGCCTGGAATGGGCGCTTCAAGCTCGCGGTGGCCGGCGGCGTCCTTTAAGTCTCCGGACCCTTTAAGTCTCCGGGCTCCACACACACGTCAGATAGGGTTGACTCTGTTCACCTAGGCAAATAACAAGCTCGGGACACGGGTAAGCGAGATGCGGTAACTTGACTCTTGCATGAACAACACCACGACGGAACCAACGAAGCGGCCACGAAAGGTTCAAATTAATCAGACCGGGTTTAAGTTGCCTACCAGAGGTTGTTTCTCAAGTTGGGTTGGGGGTGTATAAAACTTCCTGTCAAACGATTTAGATCATATTCCCTTTTACGCTACCGCTAGATAAGGACATTTCCCGAGTGCAGGTGTCTTGCATCGGTGCTGATTATCGCAACGCAGGCACCGGCCAGCCTTCCAGCTGATATCAGGTCACTGTCGACTGGGCGGATGCTGAGCGACCTCCAACCGGGCAATGCTGGACGCTCGCATCGGTCAAGCCTGCAGGCCAGTCAGCGCGATGCTCCGCTGGGATGCTCGATCTATACGAGCTTCTTAATCCACACCTGCTATCACATTTGATGAGTCTTGATGATAATTGGTCAACGTTCGTTGAGCTTGTCTCTTCCAATGTTGCTGAGCATTGCTATGAACCCGTTCCTCTGGCCCGCCTTGGATGTTTTCCACGGGCTTGAAACCACGCCACGGAAATCAACGTTGGAAATCCATGTGGAGATTCAGCTACGAACGAGGGTACGGAATGGGAGCTGTGGAGAAGTGCGCATCTGCGTCGGTCCCGTCAGGGTCTACACTACAAGATTACAGAGTTCCGGCGACCATGGATGCTCACAGCGATGTATATTCCTATAAATGGGGCTCGGGCGCGCTGATCGAAACATCATTTTTGGTCTAGATCACAACCAGACAGTCGCTTGAAGAAAATCTCAACACAATGACTCGTCCTTCCTCGCTTTTGGCATCTGCTGCTCTGCCGCTGAGCGCGAGTTGCGCTCTTAGTGTCACTTCACAGCTTTTCCAACTCGCCGGATCGACTGACGGGACCAACAATGTAAAGTTCAGCTGGGACCTTATCGACGGAGCGGTAGTATACAACATCCAGCAGAAGGCCGGCTCCGGCTCATACGCCACCGTTGCAACTGCCCCGGGCAACGGCTATGACATTTATGGCCTGCAAGGGTCTTCCAGCTTCCAGATTGAGGCCGTCGACGCCAGCAACAAGACCCTCGACACATCCGCAGAGCTCAAGGTCACAGCAACGCCTGACTCCGGCTCGAACCTAGCTGTGTACGACAACACGGTCGCATCCTCGCTCAAGATCAAGAGCGACCTGAAGGGCTCGGACGGAACGTACTACAGGTACAGATACGTCACCGACGCCAATGGCTTCAGCCACCTTTCGCAACAGACATCCGAGGATGGCTACGCCTTTGAGGGGGATACCCAGGTATTGACCAAGGCCGAAGTCTGTGCATCGACCGAGGACGGAAACTGCAAGCTCGAGTCCATCAACTGGGCGCAGAACCCCAAGGATGGGCGCGTCTTCATGTGGGCACACTTCGAGAGGGCCCAAGACTACGGGCTTGGACAGGTGGCCGTGGCATATGGCACGCCCGGAAAGAACCTGACCTTTGGTGGGGCGTTCCGGCCGGGTGGCGACGACTCGCGGGACATGACCTTCTTCGCCGACGACGACGGCGCCGCATACATTGTCTGCGCGATCAACACGAACACAAACCTCGGCCTGTACGCCCTGACAGCCGACTGGACCAATGTGACCTCCAAGGTGGCGACCCTGCAGCCCGAGGAGCACCGTGAGGCACCCGCCCTGATCAAGAACGACGGCTGGTACTACCTACTCACCTCGACGGCGGCTGGGTGGTACGCTTCCCAGGGCAAGTACATTGCCGCCCAGAAGCTCAGCGGCCCATGGTCAGCGTCTCGCAACATTGGCAACCTCAACACCTTCGGCGCGCAGTCCGGACAGGTGACCAAGATCGGCGACAACTACATCGAGGCGGCGAACCGCTGGGCCGCCAACTGGGCACACAAGGAGGCCAGCCACCGTCAGATCCTGCTGCCCGTCGCCACCAGCGACGGCGTGGCCTCGTACCACTTCTACCACCAGCTCAACTACGACGACGACAAGGGCGTCGTGGTGCCGGTCCAGAGCGGCCGCATCCTCAGCGTCGGGCAGCCCGCCAGCGCGAGCGTCAACAGCGACGAGGCCTCGCTCCTCAACGATGGCATCCAAGACCAAGACAAGAACCTCTTCTCGCCCGGCACCGTGCCCTTCTGGTGGGAGGTCGACCTCAGCGCAGACCACGCCGTGACGCAGATCGACCTGACTCCGAGACAGGTCGGCGGCTCCGAGACGTACATCCAGTACAACGTAACGGGCAGCACCGACCGCGAGACATGGAAGACGCTCGTCGACGAGGCCGCCAACCAGTCTCCTGGCTTCAGGACCCCCGCCGTCTCGGACACTGGCAAGTTCCGCTACATCAGGGTTAACATTCACAACTTCATCAACGTCCACAATGACAACGAGGCGGACTGGGCTGCAGGACTGCACGAGGTCACAGTCTACGGAAGATAGAAGCTGTTTTATGAGAGTGTAGAGCAGAGTGACCGAGGCTGTGCTGCTCGACAAAATCACCCCTCACCTTACTCCCTCGAATGAATTTTATTATTTTCACTTCCACTATTCCTTGCGTAGAGAACTAACCCAGATGCCTATCAAGTCAGAAGGCACATAGATAAGACCAAGGCTACCTAGGAAAATATATAAAATAACCATTCCATTGTTTAAGATAGTACTTCTCTGAAAAGAGAATAACTTTCAAGGTAACGCTTGCGTCTGTGGGTCACCTCCATTGCGGCATACGATTAGCCTTAAATATTTCATAGTAATCTCTCTTTTCCATATTACTACTCACTTGAATATACTAGTTTCTTTAATCTGCTTGTGGGCTCTGTATCACTATATATAAATTTGTGCAATTAATACTAGAAGTAAATTTGGGTGCCTGGATAGGAATGTGTTGGAATGTTACTTTATTCTGGTTGGCTAGGACTTATATTAAGTTCCGTGTTCTCCTTTTACGGTGTATTGGCTGCTTGGTGGATGATCTAGGGATTTAGCTGAGTCTGGATCGATTTTGGCCTTTGGGGAAATGAAGGAAAAAAGACGAAAAGAGAGTGAAGAGTAGAAGAGAAAAAAGACAAGACTGGTTGCCATAGAACACGAGATCTAAGACGAGCATGTCGTCAAGTCCAACGTAATGCAGCAGCAACTGGACTTCGTCCATGGCTAGACTACCAGCCGCAGCTTGCACCATGGAAGTTCCCTGCACTCGGGCTCAAGACCGAGGGCCTGCGAGATAGAAAGATAGAGAAAAAAATCAATGTGCCTTATTCTAGAGGCGTGTCTATTCTTCTATGACTCTATATTCTATGACCATGCAACACCTTGCTCCCTGCGAACGCATTGTGGCTCAAGGGCTGCCATCCTCTGACTCCGACCCTCCACCGTTCTCCTTGTGAGTAGCCCTGCCCTTGACGTCAGTGCGGAACCGCTGTTCCTCCCGCGCCAACTCCTCCTTGAGGGTTCCGTTCGCCTTCCAGATCGGTTTGATCTCAAATAGGCGCTCCATCTTCTCCAGTGGGATGCCACTGGTCTCGGGGATGAGGAAGAAGGCATAGAAGAAGGCGAAGAAGGACAGTGACGCGAAGAAGAAGTATACGCCGTAGCCCATCGCGGCGAACATCTGTTCAGTGAATCGCGACACGAGGAAGTTGAACAGCCAGTTGCTAGCGGTTGTGAAAGCCTGGGCTAGGGAGCGGAAGTTGGGATCGAAGAATTCCTGGTCATGCCGTGTTAGTCTAATTGGATTGTGCTGATTATGAAAAGGGAGATTACACTTACCGAGTTGATCACCCATGGTGTGCCGTTCCAGGTGGGAGTGTAGACGGCTGTCCAGAGGTAGAAAAAGACAACCGCTGCGATGCCGCCACCGTTGAGGTGGTCGCTGGGGTGCTCCGTGGGCTTCGCAACGCAGATGTAGGAACCTATTACCCACATGCAGATCGAACCGGTGATGGCACCAATGAGCAGGAGTTTCCTCCTGCCGAGCTGATCGACCAGGAACAGCAGCCATACGAATGTCATGATGGCCTTGATGACACCGAAGATGCCCGTCATCAGGTTCACCGTGTTGGACTCGATGCCGAGGCTCTGCAGCGGCGATCAGTATGGAACCCAACCGAGACAAGGCGAGGCCCGGTAGGGGAGAGAGAGATGTCCTCATGAGACTTACCAAGAAGATCGTGGGTGAATAATAGTTGATAGCATTAATCCCGCTTCCGTTCTGCCAGAAGAATAGCATGCACCCCAGGAACAGACGCCACTGCATGGTAGGCCGTTCGCCAAGCGCCTTGAATGGCTGCCACAGGCCAACGCCGACAGTCGTCCTCTGCGACTCGACGGCGCTTTCGATTGCCGCAACCTCCTCTATGATGTACATCTCCCCAGCGTCGAGCTGGCGGATCCAGCAGAGGTTCTCCATGGCTTTCTTCGGGCGGTTATGGAAGAACAGCCACCTAGGTGACTCGCGGATCCACAGGGAGCCGATGAAGAGGAGACCCGATGGAATCAACTGAATAGCGAATGGAATGATCCATTGCTCGCGACTCGGCTTCATGTGCTGCTCAACGCCATACTGATATTCGACGATTCCAGTAGTAAGCCATCTGCAAACCCTACAGGGGAGGGAGGAGGGTTACAAATTCAAGGGACATGACTCACGTTGATCCAAAAGCCCAGCAGGCCACCGATCTGCCAGCCAAGCTCGTACAGGCCGACAAGCCGGCCTCGGATAGCTGGCGGCGCCAATTCCGACAGGTAGATCGGAATAATGTTTGAGGCGACACCAGTGCCCAGCCCTGACAAGACGCGGCCCGCGTACAAGATGCCCAGCCCCCGGGACGAGTTGGCGCCGCACTGGAGGCCTGATCCCAGAGCAAACGTGGCGGATGCGATGGCTAGGCAGTATTTGCGTCCAATCCAGTGGCTGAGAATGTAAGTCAGGAGAGCGCCGAAGAAGGCGCCAGCAATGAACAGTGACACTATATTTTCGCTAATGAGGCTCCTCTCCGAAGCGCTCATGATGTCCAGGCCGAACTCCGCCTTAAAGGACGTGAGGGTCACCGTCGTGCCGATGAAGGCACTCGTGTAGCCGATCATGTTGGAGCCACATGATGCGATGACGGCGAGCAGGTAGACTCGCCAGTTGTAGACTGAAGGGGGCGTGGGCCGGTCCTCGATGAGCGTGAGTAGACCCATGGCTGTTTCTCTGTTCAGAATGTAGAGTTGGGGAGACTAGGAACATCTAGAGGATAGGGTATGCTCGAGGTACGTGTGGTGGTCGAGGGAGGCGGCCTTTTGGGATAATGGCAGATATCAACGAGCCAGGCCGGGAACGGCGTGTTCAAGGGGAAAAAAAACTCTTGTGGATGTGATGTGTCCCCTACACGACTCCTCGGCAGCTCGTTAGGTGGTTAGGTGAGTGGGCCTGGCTAACTCGCGCGTGTTTCCCTCTCAACCTGCCCCCACATTCTACGTCGCCCTCCCCGTACCCCATCATCTCCTTCCCGGAGAAGTACGGGGTTTGAGTATGAGGCTGAGAGGCTTTCAAGGACAATGCTCTAATCCCCGAGGTCTCTCCACGCCTTGCACTTATGGGCGATCCCAACAGGGCGGAACCCCCATCCGGGGTAGTGTTTTCCCCCCCACCCCCCAGGTGGAAACGTTCAGCCGGGGCAGACGAATGGGCGCCAGTATATATGTAACAAAACAATCCCACTTTTTTAGCTGTCCGGCTTTGTGTGTATCAATGCATCTTGTCTGGAGGACGGTGTTAACTTGACTCTTGTCGGCGGTGGCCTGTCGCCCTGCATTAAGTGTTGAGGCGGTGTCACATGGAATTACGGCTCTCCGGCAAAATCTGTTTCCACTGGAGAAGACTGTGCCGGAGCGACGCTCTTTTCCTTGTCGCACACATGAAGCATACAGGTATGGATTACGAAATGATAAAGAAGAAATCGTGGCACGGCTTTTCTGGATCCATGGGACTTCGAGCGTGGGCAGAAAATACACAAGGCATATGGAACAGTGATCTAATTCCCGACCTACGTTCTGATTCACGAAGAGACGCATCTAGGCTGCACAGAAATTACGTCAGGGGCCCACGGGTGAACCCTTAGCCAGGCGCCTTAGGGAGCACGGAAGTTGGCCGAGATCGGCCTGGAGCCAACTATAAAACTTGAAATTTGGTACCAAACATTGTTGAGATTTTGTCGAATACGTATCTACCTATGTCATAGCTATGACCACGTGGACTTGATTGTACTGCTCACAAAAGCTCGGGAGAAAAAAAAAGCGCAGGGCGGCAGGCTTCGATCTCAACTCTTCAGCATTTAACCGCAATCCCCGCATAGCTGAGAGTCTGACCGCAGTAACCCCGAATTAATGTACGGTGCCTTATGTACGCTTTCATATTCCAATAAGCCCTCTCAGAACCCGGCTCCGTTTAATCGATCAACCTACCAAAGGTGAATAACTCGAACACAAGAGAATATACCTATTCAAGTATCTATATACTTAAGTAGATACTATATAGCTGGCTGGAATGCGGAGAGATTTATTTTTAAAATATCCTTGAACTCCTGACTCTGGATCTCTCACGGGACAACCTCGATTGGATTAATCTCCATTCGGATAACCTCTAATGAAAGGAACCTGAACGTAAAGGAGACTTTCAACCGGAGTCCAGGGGAAGAATGAAAAGGAAGAACGGGGAAACGTATTTCCGTGAAGCTGTACTCCGTACATTACAACGGACATGCCCAGATACTCAAGGTTACGAAACCCACGTATTTGTCCTCTAGACTGCATGTGCACTCCGTATCCAAGCACAAAAGTCGCCAGCTGTACCTCAAGAGTCCTAGATACTTTGTCTCGAGTAGCAATGAGGAACCCCGAGATTTAAATCATCGGTTCCATTCAAGTTTTCTTGGCGAGCTTCCAGCATCAAGAAACACGGCAGGGTTTTGACTCACAAGTTTGCGAATTCTGTGCAATTACATGTTAGTCAATCACTGCACGCCTGAGGTCGTTGCCAAGCCGCTTTCGAGAGCTCGAAACAAGTTGTCTAAGTAGAATGGCCCTCATTTTCACATTCGAACGGCTGTGATCCATTCTCGTAGTGAATTATGATCAAAGGAGACAATTAATATATCTATTAATATTAAGAGATCAGTTCTTAACCTTGCTACAGCCAGGACAACGTGCTTTTCAATGTAGAATTGGACTGTAATGAGAAGGAGCGGGTAGATAGCAAAAAGCCGTACTGGCATCCACCGGAAAATGTATCCAGCCGACCCCCACCGTTGGGTATCTCCCGTGTCTGCCTTGATGCCTCGTTGTGCCCAATAATCCAATTTGTTCCCTCTTTGGACGTGGCCGAGAAGATCTATTAGTGGCTGAAGCGTCGTTTCTTGTTATCAATACAGACATGATGTAATAATATGAGGACGAACAATTTCTATTCGCTCGGGAATAGGGACCAGCCCGCACGGGAATGTCTCAGACAGCGAGTCGACATGACACTTGGGTTGTACAGCAGTGGTGCAGCTTACCTGCATTCGGCTATGTGAGTAAAGTGGCACGGAAGGTTGGTGCAATTGATCAAAATCGACACTCCTCGGTGCTGGGATACAATAATATGAGCCATACCGTTTTAAATGCTGCCGGACATCTCCCAGCTTGCACAGATGGTCAAGACGGACTTTGCACCAAACAATATTAGTTCTAGATATTAGAACGTAGAATGTCTGTTTTCTGTCCGGAACATTTGTCAGATTATTAGGCCTTCATTGGTCGTCCAAGTAGATTAAGGCCAAACCTAGGCATAGATTAAAACCAGTGGACCAGCCACGGCGACTGAAGCATCAGCCTGTCAGGCGCGATTGCAGGTAGCTCATATTATTTGTTCCCCTGTGTATTAAGCGCATCATAGCACTTCCGACCGCTAATTTCTTGCTGTCCTTTACAACGGTGGTCACACTCTAAACTTTCCACTGGCAAAACTCAGAGTCTAATTATGATGAGTTCAAGGTCGTTTCAAGGTTGGTGGTTCTCGCCTCAGACGTACGATTTGATTCAAAGACTTGCCCTTTTTTTGAAATGACGAACGTGATGAAATCACTCTTCAATTACAATAGGCCATGCCACTCAGTCATTTATCGTAAGAGGCTGCTCCATGTGGGTTATATTGCAGCTCTCTGTTTCCGACGCTGCATCAGCGCTGTGTGGTATATATACTCCACTCACTAAATGCTTCCCCTAAAACCTAGCATCCCAAAGGATAAACATCTGGGGCGCTATTACTGCTGGTAGCAGCACTGCCAGCTAGTAAATCTGTTGCAGCCTATTAGAGTAAGGATTAGCTTCACTTCGCTTAAGCTTAACCAAATGTGAGACCGGCTCCTCGGCACTTTCCGTTAACTAGTGTTTTCTTGGAGCCTCGCTGTGCCAACAAACCAACCTCGGAGCGCATTACCGCTTTGAGCAAGGCTGAGAAACTCTTTGGGTGGCTAAAGCGCCAGCTATTGCTACGGACGAGACGCGGAACATGCCTTGCTCACAGTCGATTATTGCGCAACGTAGTATACATAGAGCGAATCTGTCCGATGCTCATAGCCGTATTTGGGCATACAACTGGAAGCATTACTCACGATTGCATGCTGCATATCTTGGTATGCATTCGGACGTGTTCTCGTGTAGGAAGATTGCAACCACATGTTTCCATTTCGATTGGTCCGTCCCAATCGTCGACTATCGTGGCATCGTCTTTGGACAGTGACTTTGTGGGATCGACGGACTAGACTGTTTTCAGCCGTGCCGGACATATGTCGTGCGACGAGGCAAGCGGGCTGGCAGATGCAAAGCACCAGCTATCGACCCTGGCCAGCGTTACGTGCAGACGATCACCTGCTCCCCGTGATGTGACAAATGCAACGGCGGGCCATATGTCACAACAGTCGACAGTTGAGAAGGACTGTCGATCGATCACCTTCCTTCTACTTCAATGGCGGCCCATCTTGGGCTTTGTGGCTCATGTCTTTTCAACTTCCCATATTCTATCAGAGGCTCTCCATCAGTAATCCAGCAAAATGGGCGCTAATTTGGTCTCTCGGGTCTACAGCAACTTGCCGGAGAGGGGTGCGTTGATAGCAATTGCCCTGGCTTCAGTTCTCATTTATTATGCTGCCAACACTGTCATCGCCTGGCGTCGCCTCCGCCACTTCCCCGGCCCACCCCTAGCCTCCATCTCTAATCTTTGGAGCTTCTTCACAGTTGCAGGCGGACAATGCCATACCAAGATCGCTGAGGCACAAAAGAAATACGGTAAAGCGATGCGCATTGGTCCTGATGCGATTATGGTTTATGATCCCGAGACCATCTGGCACATGAACTCTGCGCGCAGCTCTTACAGTCGCGGCGGCTGGTACGATAGCATGAAGTTTCACCCGGAAGGCGACAGCGTATTGAGCGAGATGAGCACGGTGCTGCACGACAGGCGAAAGGCTAACCTGGTCAGTGGGTTCGCTGGCAAGGGCTCGATCAACCTCGAGATGAGTGTTGACTCGCAGATTGCGGCTTTGGTGAAGTACATCCGGACCAAGGCTGTAGATGGGCAGGGCAACAGGCTAGGCTTCAGCAAGATCATCAGGTGGTTCCAACTGGATCTGATCTCTCTCATTAGGTTAGGTAAGGCATGGGGAGACCTAGCTGATGAGACTGATCACTTCGACTTTCTGGGAAGCATGGATCGGGCCATTCCTCTGATCCATTCAATATCTCTCGTGCCGTTCATGCGCAACATCATCTTCTCGAAGCTCTTCTTGTACCTGGCTGCGCCGAGAGTCACTGACAAGGAAGGAATGGGGAGGTCTATAAGGTAACTGCTCCCCTACTATTCTGGTAATGAATTAACCATTCTGTTTCAAATGGCTGATCGCTTTGAATAGGGAGATGAGATCAACAGTCAGGTCTCACTTCGAGAGTATCACCGACATCAAATCAGGACGCCAACACGGTAACATGTTGGTAAGTGCGGATCCCAGCTGGACACTACCCAAGCCCACTGCGCAGCTGATACAATCTCGGATTTTTTCAGAGTGAATGGATCAGGCACGGGCATAGTCCAGAGCAATGCGAGTGGGACCTTGCTATTCTTATGCCCGCCGGCACCGAAACCAGCGTCACGGCTATGCGCGGCACATTATTGCATATTCTGTCATCGCCAGCCGTGTACCACAAGCTGAAACAAGAAATTTCAGACGGCATCAAGGCAGGCCGAATCTCGCAGCCTATCACACATGACCAGGCTAAGGAGATGCCGTATCTGCAAGCTGTTATCAGTGAAGGCATGCGGGTGGTCCCACCTGTAATCAACGGATTCTCAAAGAAAGTCCCGCCGGGTGGCGATACGAGTGAGTGAAGGACCGGGGGGTTCTCATTTTTTCATCCTGAAAAGAAAAGATCTGACTGCTCTTCATAGTCTGCGGCAAGTTCGTACCCGAAGGTACCGAAATCCACACGAACTACGTCGCAATGTTGATGAATACGGAGGTTTTTGGCGCAGATGCCGAAACGTTCCGGCCAGAGCGCTTTTTGGAGTGCGACGACAAGCAAAGAACTTATATGTTGAAGACAATTGACTTGTCTTTTGGGCATGGTCGTTGGCTATGTCTGGGCAAGTCCCTTGCTATAATGGAGCTGAACAAGATCTTCGTTGAGGTACGATGAGCCCCCCCCCTCCTTTTCACCTTCGCACCAGGGTAGGATTAGAATGTCTCCAATGATTAACACGAGGAAAATCGCGTATTTAAAGCTGTTGCGAGTTTTCGACTTCCAGATCACTCATCCGGAACAACCCTGGAAACGCAAAGTGTACTCGACTTCCGTTATTGAGGATTTCGAACTTCAAGTCTGGGAGAACCCATTGGATTAGGGACATTGGAAAGTGGCTTTGTTAAGTGCGTCAACAACGAGAAGGTGTGTTTCGAGGCCTAGGAAGAACGTGGATTAGTAGTTCTTCGGTGAGTGCATGTGCTATGGCGACTGGGATCTGATATTTGTACCATCGTATTCAAAGTGGACGTATGCTAAGTCTCTAGCTGGAGAAGGGGTCGGTGGGCACCCTTTCCTTATATACATGCGTCTTATTCATAGTGACCTGTATTCAATGCTATCATTCCATGAGTTCTGTGTACGAGAATATAATTATGCCGAAGAACACGCAGCTTTCCCGAGAAATTTAATCTATTTGATGTGCTGTGGCTCCAGCAAGTGCTCCCACAAGAAAGGTTGATAGTCGAAGGCTGACGTCATTGTTTCAAGACTTGTCTTTCTTGAAAATCTTATATACAATCATGTTTCAGCTGTCTGTAGCGAATTGTCTCCGTTCGTCATTTGGACATGAGCTATTGTGCATTCTTCCAATTTCAGATACCGCCTCAGGGTTGCGCGCACACGCCCGCAAGTTACACTCTATGTCGGAGCATCTTGCCTTAATTACCTGACGAGTTGCGAAATTGCAGTTAGGCTTCTGACGATTTGCATGGTCGGATAACATACCCCAGTTCCCACTCTCAGCGGACGAAATTCTGCAAATATGTAAACTAATGTACAAGACAACGCGACCTCGGAACAATGTTACAGTCGAGCTTAACCACCATGTTCAACGATCGACGTAGAAACTATTATAGGCCAGGAGCTCTGGCTTTCCCCCCGCTCTCAATAAAGTAAATCAAACTTCCAATTGAAGTGTGCGTAAGCAAACTCAAAGAGACCATGCCGGTCGATGTACATACTGTTTCCCGAGGCATTATAATCCAGTGCCTACTGCTATCTCATCCGCATCGCTTCACCTCCCGCCACACGGACTTAATCTTGCGTCACTCATATCGTCTCAACGGCAAATCACTCATTGTCGATCACCCGATAACCTTGGAAATATCAGGAATCTCCTCAGCGTCCTCAGTATATAGCGCGATGCCGGCTTCTGGAAATAGCATCTTGCGATTCATCCAAATTGCTATAATTGCGTTCGAGATAATGTACCGTCATCATTATGCCTATCTATTTAAATATGCAGCGGGTGCGTTTTTCTCTAGCCCGGATGCCTACGAACGCGTCTAGATAATAAGACAGGGGCCTGAGTGGAGAATTGACCAATCAACAGGAGACACAAATGGCATGCGCCGAGTTCCACGAGGAAGTACCAGAAGAACAAAACCATTCTACAAGTAGGGGCATCGACCGTCATATGCATTGCCCAAAGCTAGGTTTGCACCTGGATAATTGTCATATCCAGTCCGAATGAGTGTCTCTGCTGTCCGATCGTATAACGGCCACCCGTCTGCGTACAAAAGCAATCCCCTTTTAACATCCTTGGCAAAAGCTGCCCAAGCGCCGCGCATATAGTTCCCGACAGCGATCTCATTCAATGTGCTTGGCGTTGGACTTTGAGGGACGGTGTTGAACAGAGGATAAATCTTGGGTTTGTTAAATTTTATATTTCCGGAAAACGCGCGAATGATTGTAAGGTCTTTACTTACATCAGACGTATGATATGCCCCACTTGGCGGGTTTGTCGAAAGGGCGAGATTTGGGAAATCTCCAAAATATCGGTATCTCCAGGTTGGATAGCCATCTGTAGTCGACTTAGAGATCCGAGCTGCATCGGCGCACGTATAATATCTGTCATTGAAATCATCCCAGTACTGGTCGCTCTGGTTCTGGAGCTGACGGAAAAAGCCGGCCTCATTCTGAGTATTTCCTATCAAGTATCCGCCTTCCGCCGATCGGCGGATGCTATAGTCGGCGAAGACAAGAGTATCATCAACAACGGGGCCGAATCCGGGAGCAGAACCTCCACCTAGATCCTCGGGGCCGAACACAGCTGCGATCTCTTCAGCAGTCTTGGAAGTCATGCAAGCGGAAACAGTCTCGGCACCAGCAGCATCAGAGCCACAACCTACTCTCTCCGCGATCCCGAACCATTTCGAAATTGTTGCATTCTTGCTGAGTGCCGGGAAGCCGTTGACAGTAGCACTCATGAACACGAACCCACTTGCAATCGGCTCCGAGGCATAGGCGTGTGAATAAAAGTCGATCAGACCAGCACCTGCAGACTGCCCGAACATGGTGATCCGGTTCACGTCGCCACCGAAGGCGTCAATATTATCGCGAATCCATTCCAAAGCAAGCCTTATATCGAGCAAGCCGAGATTTGGAACGGTAATCGGGTTTCCAGGGAAGCCAAAGATGTTTAGGCGGTAGCTTTTCAGGGATCAATTAGCGATAGTGCCGTTTGCTAAAGAAGACAACACCAACTTGATGGATATAATAATAACATCGGTTTGGCCAGCAAAAAACTGCCCATTATAGCCAGGTTCTCTAGCGGCGCCTGGATATGGCAGTCAGAAGTGCCTCCATAGAACTTGTTAAGGTCTTCATTCTAACATACCATTCGAGTAGCCGCCCCCGTAAATCCAAACAAGGACGGCCTTTTTCTTCTCTCCGGTTTGAGGTTTGGTCCAGATGTTGAGTGTCAGACAATCTTCTGCTTGGGGTGAATCTCCGGCGCCAGGGGTAATTTGCATGCAAGCAAATCCCTGCAAGAATGGTCGATTAGTTTTGGACAAACAAACATTCAGACGAGACACTTGTGGTTGAAAGAAACGGGATCGGAACAGGTTAAGTTTGACCCACAAAGGCTGCGGCATTGATATCAGACGTGCCACTGTACTGAACAGGAGGTTGAAATCGCAAAGCTCCATAGGAGGCTGGGCAAATGGTATTCCCAGATATTCGGAAACCTCGGTGGCGTTCGACGCAGCATGGCCAATTATACGCCCACTGCTTGTGTCGACAGCTTGGCCCACAGTCCAGGTGGTATCACACCCGCGGCTTCGATAAGGAACTGCACAAGCGAAAGTCGCGAAAGTAGCAACGCCTAGAATAGAGTTTAGACCGAAGAAGTGCTTCATGTTTGATACTGTTGTGACAAGCCAATGTGTACAGCAACTGCGACGATATAGTACAAGGCAAAACAAAATTCTAGGTGAGAGATCCTGACTACTTATTTCAAATTATCAACAATGCTAGGAGGGTGCAAGTACAGTCCCCCCTGCATCCTCTCCTTTACTACGCGATTCGAGGTAACCTACCGCAACGGGGCAATTACCGAACTCCTGACGAGGCTTCTTGAGAGCTCCCGTGGGCAGAGAGAAGCTGATCCACTGCACTTTTTTAGGCGTGGGGGTATAGCACTGAAGTTTACTGAACTCTGTACCGGGATTGGGTACGTATCCGTGTGGTAGTCTGACAGCGCTCATATCCGATGCCACTTGATGTTAGAGACGGCATCGCAATACACTTGGATCCCGAAACCACGTTTGGGTAGGACGGCATCGGGATGCACTTATGTCCCGAAATCACTTTGGGTGATCTCCCGAGGTAGCATCTTGGTGGCATGCCCAAGGAGATGGCGAGACGTCGGTAGGGACTTCGGCGGAAGTAAAAGCGGAGACGCCGGCGGAAGTAACAGCGGCTCGGCTGGATGGCGGCCGCATAATGCGATGGACCCGTCTTAGGCTTTTAGGACACTTCCCAGAATACTGGGGATTCGTTGATTCTGTTAGCAGGCGGAGCAGAGCTTCTTTGAGCAGAGCACCCTTGAGCAGAGCACCCTTGAGCAGTCTTGGGAGTCCTCCAAGTGCCCAGCTCACTAGTCCTCGTTCCGCCGCAAAAGTCCGGCGCTGCAGAAATATATCAAGGCTCGACCTCTCTATTCAACCTGGGGTACTCTGGGCAGCACCCCCTGGCAGAAGCAAAATTAGGACCTCTCATCTCACCTTACCAACTTTAACAATACCACAGCCATGGCCGGCAAAGTCGAAACTCGTCCGCTCGGCAAGAACGGTCCTGAGGTCCCACGCCTGGGTCTTGGACTGATGGGCGCAAGCGGCAGCTACGGCCTCCCATAGGGGGATGAAGAGCGCTTCGCCTTATTAGACAAGGCCTACGAGATGGGGGAGACCTTTTGGGATACCTGTAAGTGTTGAAGCGATGGGTTTTCAAGGCTAGGGCTAATGCCCCCGCAGCTGATGCGTACGGCGACTCGGAGGATCTGATTGGGAAGTGGTTCGCTGCCAATCCTGAGAAGCGCAAAGACATTTTTCTCGGGACCAAATTCGGCGTCCAGTTCGACCCGGCAACAGGGATGAAGACAAATTCAACCCCGGAGTACTGTCGCGAGGCCCTGGACAAATCGCTTAAACGACTAAGACAATCCTGTGTCGACCTATACTACATCCACCGCTTGGACAAGGTCACCCCAATTGAGAAGACCGTCGAAGCCATGGTTGAGCTCAAGAACGCCGGCAAGATTAAGCATATCGGCCTGAGCGAGTGCAGTGCCGAGTCTCTCCGCCGAGCCCATGTCGTGCATCCCATCGCATGTGTTCAGGTCGAGTACAGTGCTTTCTTGCTCGCCATCGAGAAGAACAAACTTCTCGCCACCGCCCGGGAACTGGGCGTGGCCATCGTCGCGTACAGCCCCTTGGGCAACGGCATCCTGACCAACACCCTCCGCACGCGCCAGGACTTCACCAAGCCCGGCGACATGCGGGGAATGCTGCCGTGGCTCAGTGCGGACAACATCGAGACCAACATGGCTGTTGTCGACAAGATCTCCGAGATTGCAAAGGCAAAGGGCGTTACGACCGCACAGTTGGCCTTGGCTTGGCTTCTCAACCAGGGTGACGAGATCTTTGCGATTCCTGGCACCACCAAGGCTTCGCGCGTGGCAGAGAATTTGGGCAGTTTGTCGATTACTCTGACACCCGAGGAGGAGCAAGCGATCCGTAAGTTGTCCGAGGGTGTTGTTGGTGGTCGAGTGCAGGACATGATGGGCGGCTCGTTCCTTGATACTCCACCCCTGTAGTAGGTTAAACGTGCTTAGTCTAAATTATTAAATTTATGCTTCTATATCCATGCACCATCTACTCAAGGAGACACATCCATGCCCGAGTTGGAATGATGGGCATTTCCTTCAACGCGTTCACACAGTTGACATTGTTATGTTACCAATTGCGCCTGTGCTCAGCGGTGGCGGGCCGATCTGATGGGGTGGCACACCTAGCAAGCCTACCGGTTTGCCATATATTGTTCCAAAATATGGTATCTTCAGTTCTAGACCCATACCGCCTTCATTCGCCCACTGATAGCTCGTACCGTTCGCAGCGTCTTCCTCGAGCGCTATGAGCTTCCTGAGGGTCTGCACCCCTGAGTCGCCTACAGTTATCCCTTCGATAAGGCCAACCACGTTGTTGATGATTTCCAGATCCTGTGGCCGCTGGTGTTCGAGGGCATTTTTCCGGCCGTGACGGCGTCCCTCTGTATGCGCAAGGAGAAGAGATGTCGCGACTAGGCGGGCTTTGTGGTCGAGTCCCCGGTACGAGACTCCCCGATGATATTTGCGGAGCACAAGAAAGCGGAGGAGCACCTGGCGACATGCTGAGGGCAAAGCCGATTTGCTGTATGAGACGTTCTCACTGCATGTGGAGTATTGAAGGCCGTGAATTAGGTAAGGCTGATGTAGGAGGACTATAAGGTAGTGATGGTGCATTTGCGTGACTGTCTTCATTGTTTCTTTCATTACTTCCTCCTCAGGGAGATTGTGAAGTGGTTCGAAGAACCACCAGGTTCCTGGTACGTATTTTACCGCCTGTTTCAAAGAGTAGTCGATGTCCAACGTCTCTTCGTCTTCAGACTCTTGACAGTTCTGCATACGTGCGTTTCGTGCTATCAGCCGACCTGTGACCACAGCGTGGAAGCGTTCCAGTGCTGACTTTGCGTCGTCTCCATGGACTGCAAAGCTGTTATCTGCCACTTCCAACGGGAGACCCAAGGTGAGCGAAAGATAGCGATCACCGCACATCAAGGCAAACCAAAGGGCTTCTGCTGGAGGGTTATGCGCCATACGGTCAAGCCCGATCATCTGGGCGATTGCCAGGGCCCGGCGAAACGTGAGCCACGCAAGGCGTAATTCGCCCCGATTGATGTGATACATCGCCTCCAGCATCAACGTTTCCAGGCCGATCGGAGAACTTATCAGCCCGTCCCTGGACGTGACATGGCGTGAGGCAGCTTCGAAGTAGGGCACGGCATCGTATGCTGGCTCATAATTGAGATGCTGCATACACAGCGCGAGCTGTACCAACTTGCGAGCGAAGTGGATAGGATGGGCCGACGGCGAGGGCCGCTTCGACGCCTGTGCCAGCTGCTCCGCACCAGTCCAAAACCGAGGGATGGGGAGGCGCCAGTAATTGCCGCGCTCCAGGATTTGTGCGGTGATGGTCGGGGGTGGGAGGAGCGAGTGCAAAACCATGCTCACGGAGCGTACGGACGACGTGTTCGGGACTGTAGCCGAAATCCTGTTGTCAAGATTGGTCGCCCGGAGTCCATTCCTCTGCTGTACCAGCTGGCTCACCAGTGATTCGACGTGGGCGATACTTTCCGCGATTCTCTCATGCCTAGAGTCAAGGTCGACATCCTGGCTTGTGCAGGTCAGTCCCCGCCGCTGACAAGACGTGCACACGGAGGATGGCGGTCTGAATTCGCAGCGGGTCTTGCGATTCTTGCACTCCCAACAACTGAACGTCCCCTTGCGTACCTTGCGCCGCTTGGGTGAAGGTACCTCCTGGGAGGACATTGTCAGGTCTGGAGGTATTGATACCCCCAGGCACTGGGTGACTCTGTCGACGGCATGGATGATATATGAAGGAAGAAGGCCAAATCATTCATGTTTGCAATACATGAGCCCCACAATCTGTACTAGCACCAGATCAGTGGATCCCGTTTCAGTGCTGATCGAGCGCGGGACGCACTACAGTATGTACATTGTCGAGGCGATAAATGATAAGATAACGGTACTAGCTCCAAGGATATATTCGGAATTAACCTAAACCCCGTAAACCATTCTCTGGCTGGCCTTAATGTTAACTAATCTAAGTACTTTTAACCTGTTCAGTCTGAATATATTGTCCTAGACTCGATGTCTTCTGATCCCTTGACCCCGTACAGGATGGCCTCCCTGGTTTTTGATTCAGATGATTGGTCTGGTGTTTCCGATGGCTGTAAAAGGCGCAAGCTCCAAAATCGCCTCAACCAGAGAACACATCGTAAGTCATGCAGCCACAGTCTACAGGCATTCTAATCTAGTTCATTAATGATGCTAAGATACGCCAGGTGCTCGTAATCGCCGTTTAAAGGCTGATAAACGAACCGGCTCCGAGAATCCTCTTGCTTTCACACCAACATTATTAGAGACGATGTCTCAACCTGGCGTCTGCATACAAATAGGCGATCTCAAGAAGCTGATAGACACTATAAGCATCCTTGAAGTACGATCAAAATATAACGAGGCCGTTCTGAGAGCGTTCGAGGCCTACGCGCGATACAGCTACATGAACGCACAACCACGTCTCGAGTTTCTGCCGATCCTCACCCAGCTCAACCTGACTCGGGCCCTGTTCGCTAACGTCGAGGCAATGGGCTTGTCTCAGAGCCAGATGCACGACGATGCTCTTTCCCCCTTTAATACCGCAGGCCCCTTAACCGCCCTCATGAGTTCGAGGCAGGTTTCATTGCCCCAGACGCTTCGACCCACTAGCCTACAAGTCGCTATACCTCACCATCCTTGGATTGATCTGATCCCAATCCCCCCATTTAGAGACAACATCCTCAAGGCACTTACGGTACACCTTGACGAAGAATCCCTTTGCCAAGCAATGAGCGGCCGTACCCGAATCCAAGCACCTGGTGTAAGGGTGTGGCGAGATCCATGGGATCCGAGCGGGTGGGAAGTAACTGAAGTCTTTGTTCAGTCTTATGGTTGGCTACTTAAGGACTGTTGGACTATTTTTGAATCAACAAATAGATGGCGGGTCGACCGTGGAGAGCGACCACTGTTTCCACGCCGGCCGAGCGAGTCAATATGATGTCCGCCACGCGTGAGAATCTACGGTGTGCTGTTGCTGCCGCACAATGTAGGAGGAACTGACGGCTGCTAGGAGGACGTAACCGTTTGTTGTAATGCATATGGGGAAGAAAGCCGAGTATGTGATGTTTTCATGTATGCTCTAGCAAGTATCTGGCAAGTTTCTAAGGGTGCGGGTCTCATTCTAGAGAGTCAAATGGCAATTCAAGAGAACAGCCGTGGTCGAAATCGAACATTATATATGCCAGCGCGGTGCCCGGCGTAGACCATACGGCGGTGCTGCCGGGGCCGGACTCCAACTGGCACCTTGTCAATTCTCTGTCTTGGTGGAGCCTCTCGGCCTGCCTGCGGAGGCTCCCCACCCACTTTGTTTTTCTCTCGGAGCACGCTGTTAACCCCGTAAAGACCGGATAGTGCCGTTTGATACCCAGTCAATCATCTATCTCACCTTTGGCAGGGAAAAGTGTGCGTGCGTCGGCCGAAACCGCACGCAACGCTCGATACTGTCGCACGCTCGATTCATTCGACAATATCGTGACCAGCGGGCCCCGGTCGTTGGGAGCTTCTTTGCCGCAAGACCCTACCCTGGATCGGAGACGAGGAACTTTTGGGTATTCGCTAGTTGACGTCCATCCGCTTGCCGAATTAGGTTTGACCTTTAGATGCAGGCGTCAGCCGTGTGCATTAGTGTCTGATCGAACAAGAGCGGCAACGTCAATTTACCTGAAAGTAGTGGGGACATTCACCCCGAACTTTATTCACAAAGCCGGCGATGCATACGTAATAATGGCTGATGATATAGCACATTGCGAGGTTTGCGGGCCTCTTCATGCTACACATTGACTAAATCGCACCGTATCAGCGTTGCGAATTTGATCCACTCAACGAGTGTTTTCGGCCTTACGTGTAATCTCCATTGGCAGAATCTTCGCTCCCCTACTCATATAAAGCTGAGCTGCGCTCGCCTATTCTCAACGCACTCTATATGTACAGTCTTATTTCGTAAGATATAATCACAACCACTCTCCCTCATAGCAAAGGTTAGGAAGGACTCCGATACATTCGATGTGACTACACTAACCATTGTACAGACTACTGAGGCTCATTCAATATGGCTAACTCACTCCCGTTTGGTAATATCCAGGTGCCCGTGCCTGGTTTCGGTGCTATGGGACTTAGCTATGGACTGGGAACCAACCTTGATTTCGACCAGGCTGAGCCAGTCCTTCTGAAGGCGATTGAGCTCGGCTGCACATTTTGGGATACTGCAGTATGCCACATGCAGACACCTGGATATCCACACGGCTGATTTGTAGCTATAGGTCGTCTATGGGAGCGGCATCAACGAGAAGTTGTTGGGCGACTTCATCAGGAAGCATAATGTTCGCGACAAGATATTCAGTAAGCCTAGAGCCTTTGATTCATGCGTTTAGGGACGTTTAGGGAGAGGGAAGGCTGAGTTCATCTAGTTGCGTCCAAGTGTGGCTTCGACGTCTTCGGGCCCGAACGAAGAGTCACAAACTCAGCAGCTCACATCAAGGAGTACATCGACGGGACGATTGAGAGGTTGGGTTTCGCTCCCGACCTCTACTACCTCCACAGGATCGATCCGAGTGCGTGTGACTGGTTTGTAATGAGCTCTTGATCTAACGTTCTGACTCTGCTGTTTAGACACCCCGCTTGAAGAGTCAATTGGTATGCTCGATGAGATCCGACGTGCCGGAAAGACGAAATACATCGGTCTTTCCGAGTGTTCCGCTGCAACCTTGCGCAGAGCAAACTCGAGTATGTGTACCTGTAGCGGTCATGCTTATCATCGCTAACACCTACTTCTCTCAGTTGCTAAGATAGATGCCATCCAAGCCGAATACTCAGCATTCGAGACTCTGCACGAGACTAATGGTCTCATCGACACTGCTAAGGAATTGAGCGTGGCGTTCGTGGCTTTTAGTCCTCTGGGCCACGGTTGGCTAGTGGATGACTTTCGCTTTAACTCCCCTGATGACTTTGCGGCCGATGATTTCCGGCGCACCGGTATGTTACGATATGCATTCATTGGCACTTCAAAGAGTCTCGTGAACAAGATGCTAACTCTACTATATGAAGTTCCCAAGTTTCAAGGCGAGAACTTTTACAAGAACAAGGCAATCGTGGACGAGATTAAGAAGTTGGCAACAAAGAAAGGGTGCACCATCGCGCAGATCGCTTTGGCTTGGGTTGCTGCGCAAGGGCTCATAGCCATCCCAGGCACGACCAAGGCATCACGCCTAGTTGAGAACTGGGGTTCTCGGGAGGTTGTGCTGACGAAAGAGGAGCAGGAGGAAATGCGCAAGATCGTCAACGAAGCCAAGCCGACTGGGAACAGATATGCCCCTATGTTCCAGGCATTGGTCGGCCACTAGAGCTGCAACTGCGCCAGCTGTCTGCCCGTAAGTAGAGAATCGGTATCCGACATGGATACCTGCAGTCTGATACATTAAAATTCCATGCTTGATACATGGGAATGAGTTGAAGAAGAGTCTGTCTCAGTCTGTCCTGATCATGTTTGCGGTGCTCGAAGACCGATATCCACTTATGCAAGTCTATGATTGACAATTGCCTCGATTTCTCTTGCTCGCCGCCATTGCCGATTATGATAAGACTGAATTGGAGTTATCGGTCCATGGAAAACAACGTTCGGAGTCCAATCATGTGTACTGTAGACGTGACATAAGTGACAGTGCCCGACGCGACAAGGAGACAAGAAGGATAGTGAGCTTTGGGTTCTAGGCACAGTCGCAGACTGGGGCGCCCCCCCCCCCCCCAAAAGCAACCAGATCTCCAAACAGACTTAGATAGACGCGCAGTTTTAGCTGGTTTAGGACATGTATTAGTGGAAGTCTTCCGATCAAAACGACAGAGGCGCAGCGCGTGTCGCACTCCGTAAGGTCACATTGTCCAGGTTCGATGGCGACAGCAGCTGTCAAGGCCGGCGGGACGGTAAGAATAATAGTGATGTTCATGTTGCGTGAACAGATTTTTATGTTCGAGTAGCCGATGAGGCTTCAAAAATAGACGGAAAACGATATACTTTCATAGGGTCATTCCGTATCCTCCAGTCGCCACCATTGCGCTCGATTTCCAGCTCGGAGTAGAGCGCCAAGAGATGCATATCAGGTTTGCTCACCACCTCGAGGTCTGCGGTCCGCCTTGAAAAGTCGGTGATAAACCTGGCTCACTGGACACCCTCCGAGGCAGTGGAGACAACCCTGCAAGCCGCGATTCTCACATGGGATTTTGCCATGCAGAATGTGGCCCTGCGGATAAACCTATTGTATGTGTGCCCTTCTTGACCGCTACAACTGGCACAATCGCAACTGATTGATTCAACCCACCAGTCTCGTGTCACCTTCCAACACGAGTCGCATCGAGAATTCCAAGATACATGTATTACGCTGCTCGGCTAGGTCTTCATCGGGTTACTCGTCAAGCCTGCTCCCTCATTACGCCCGGGACATTGCCACAGGTACTTTTGTTTCGCAGCAAGGCTGTTTTTGACTATTCTCGCTCTCCGTCTACTTGAAACGCGAGATAATGTCCAGTGGAGTTCGGGTGCATACAGTCATACCGAGAAGCGTTGTATTGTTCTCGAGATTGACAGCCTAAGGCTGCAACGCGCCCGCCGACACACCGGAAATCTGAACCCATAACTGCTTTCAGTAGGGATCATCCACGAGTCACGCGGCACGTAGCATCGATCAACAATAGTTGGGAAAGAGCGCTTGGGTTATGCAATATCATGTGCGGTGACACTCAGGTAATCTCAGGCCAACTTCGGCCTTTTTCATTGAACTGCGCCCTGGACAGCGACAACACAGGAAGCATCCACTGACCGTGCCTATCAGCTCGGTCCGCCACCCTAGTGCACTTTTTAATTAGCATTGAGGTTAGCATGGTCTAATGCAGCTGTCAGCAAGCTGCATTAGCGCGACTTGGCGGACAGTACCTGCTTCCAAGCAGTTCCCGAGGCCACTTTTCCGGCTGTGAATGGGCATTATCTAATATAGAATGGGGCTAGCGGCTGCCACTTCGGCCCCGTCGCCTAAGTTGTTGATAGCTGCGCCAAGAAGTACCTGCTAAATAGGTTGCGAATAGTGACGCGAAGTCCTTGTGCCACCCGCAATCTCTCAACAGTGACGTTGCCGGGAGAAATCAGGCCTAAGTCCGATAACACCATAAGTGATCCGGATCCGCACAAGAAGAGCCGCATTCGACTAAATGGTGAAAGATGTAGATGGTTATTGGCAGTGACTGCTCAGAGGCGTATGTCCAGAAGTGCTGGTGTGAAAAGGGGGTTGTTTGGCTCGAGATTATATGAAGAGCGGGTGTCTCGCAGTTTGCGGCCATCTTGTAACCAGTACCACCTACAAACATTCTTTTCTATTCAGCACACGTACGAGAATCCAACATGTTTATGTTGACACTTAATTACCTGAGAATATTATTGTTCTCCGGATTAGGTGCTCACGCGCTGGAGGTCAGGGAGACTAATTCGCCTATTCCCAACGATGGTCCGAATTGTCACCAGGCTGTACGCATATTCCTCTATACTGAAAATGTCGTTTCTAACCAGACCAGTGTGACATACTAGCCTCTCATTTTGCCGGTAGATTGCATTACGACGAATCGGACAACAACTTCACAATCTGGGACCAGAAACAGTTGGAGACGCTGTATGCCTGCCGCGTCGAGCCCGCTTCCGCCGATGAGGTTTCGAAAGTCCTGCAAGTGCTCGTGAATAGCTGGTGTAAGTTCGCCGTAAGATGCGGGGGCCACTCACGATACCCGGACGACTCCGTCTCCATTGGCGGAGTCACCATCGACCTAGGCTTGATGAATACCACCATTGTGTCTGATGAACGAACGACCGCCCGTGTCGGCGGAGGAGCTCTTTCGCGCCAAGTCTTCGCTGCTCTGGATCCATACGGCTTGGCCTATATCGGGGGCAGAGTCGGACAAGTCGGCATGGGCGGCTTCACAATTGGTGGTGGCACGTCCGTTCTCGCAGCAAAGTACGGGTGGGCCCTCGACAACGTCTTAGAATATGAAGTAAGCCAACTCATCTTGGCCTCAGAAATCCTTTGCTTACCCTATAAGGTTGTACTGGCCAACTCCACGATTGTGACGGCATCCGAAAACTCCCACGCAGACTTATATTATGCCCTTCGAGGGGGTGGGAACAACTTCGGCATTGTCACATCGTTCAACGTCAATGTGTTCCCGCAAGGCCCTGTGTACACTGGATCACGATCCTTTGCCGACAACCAGACGAATCGTTTCTTCGAAGAGGCTGAGAAGATTTTCACTCTTGAGGACTCAGTAGATACCAACGTCGGTTTCGAATACAGATATACTTACTCTGGCCAAGAAGGATGGACAATGTCAAGTACACAACGTTACGCCGAACCTGTCATGAACCCTGCTGTGTTTGATGCTCTCAATAGTGTCCCGGCTCTGGGAAATCTCACGGGAGCCATTAACACTCTGGCGAGCAGCACAAGCTTAGGTGGGCCTCTGGGAACTACAAGGTATGTTAATCCACCTGCTGATCTTCCTTCTTCGGTAGAAAGAATCAGAAAGGTCCAGAAATATCAAACTCAATGATGTGAATGACAACGATCGCAGGAACGTCTTCGCCTCTTTGACACATTACCCTTCCATCGAGCTAAGCAAGGAAGGCATTGCCATTCTCAAGGAAATGACGGAAAAGGGGAATCTGACCGGTCTTAATCCGCAACTGATCTCATATTCGATCCCCACCGCGACGATGGAGATGTCGAGGACACGAGGGGGTAACGCCCTCGGCCTTGACGTCGAAGGCCATCTCATCAGTACGTGAACCGCCCTCTTCCCCTGCCTTGCTTATATTGGATAATATTAGCCAGCGGCCTCTAATATGTGGTGCTTACACATAGTCAACCTCCTTTCTTTGACCTGGCTCGATAGAAATATGGACAGTGCTGGATATGCCTTCGCGGATAGCTTCATCTCTGAATTTCGAGAAGCTGCAGAGAAATTCGACGTGTTCCATCCCTACATCTACATCAATTATGCGAACAAGGGTCAAGATGTTTTTGGCGGTTATGGCGAGGAAAACCGACAGAGGCTCATTGAGATCTCGAAAGCAGTTGATCCCAATGGTGTTTTTACGTCTTCGGGACTTTGGACCGGCTTCTTCAAGGTACGATGATGAGATGCAGACTAATTGTCAATGTCAATGGTACGGGGAACATTTAGGTGCCATCACAATATGCCACAAATTCATGAGAAAAAGTTGATTTTAGATTTCACCTTTATATATATCATTTACTCATGGATAAAAAGAAATACATACTTATAAATTATTTTACAAAGTTAAAGCAATTTATACAATGCATCAGGGTTTGAGTGTTTTGGAATGATAAAAGGGTTGGAATGGTAGCTTGCTATGGTATTATCCAACAGATAATGTCATTGCGCTGACACTGTGACAGTCTCTCCCTCTATAATCTTAATCTGGAAGGACTCGGTAGCAAGCCCGTAGCTCTTTGCAACAGCCTCACTTCCATATACTCGCATACGCGTCTCATATTCAGCGGTGATGCCCTCCTTCCACCCATCAGCTTCCTTCACTAAACGGCCTAGCAGCGCCGAATCTCGCACGGCAGTGTTGGCCCCGATACCACCGGCTGGCGTCATCGAATGCGCCGCGTCCCCAATGACCGTCACGCGAGGCTCATTTGGCCATTCTGGGACCCCTGAAGGAGTCGAACAGGTGATCTTCCAGAATGCGGCTTCCTTGGTGTTCATCTGTTCAAACAAAGGTCGAAATCTCTCGTGCCAGTCCGCTGTCAGCTTCTTGGCCAAGTCTGCTGCCGTGCTTCCCACGATACTGTAGTCGTCATTCGGCGCCCTAATTAGACCTGGGGGTCCCACCATGGTCCAGCCATACTCGATATCAGGGTTGTTTATATCGTTCGGACGCACGTTTGTGATTATGCTCACACGGGAGTCTTTCCCTTTTGACTCGTCTGAAATGCGAAAGACGCCCTCGCCTAGATCCTTGAAAGCGCCCGTCGGCGCCTGACCGTGAATGCCTCGTGCGCCGGTATCGTAGACCGCCAGCCGCCCGCCAGAGACTTGCTTCGCCACTCTAGAATGGATGCCTTCCCCGCCAATCAGCATGTCACCTACCTCCGACTTGGTCCCGTCCGCGAATACCGCTCGGACACCCCCGTCGACAATCTCATATCCCGTGACATGTCTCTGAAACTCGACTTGGTCCTCCAATCCCTCGAAGAAGAGCTTACGCATCTCCCCTCTTGCGATGCCTACCGTCTTTCCATTCCGACTTGATAGCTGTGTCATGGCTCCGCCTACATTGCCCTCTGTTTGCTCCCCAGTGATAGCATCGAGACCGGCAAAGCCAGCGCCCCCCGTCTTGCCACACTTGTCGTAGAAGCGTGCAAAGTCCTCGGAGCCCAGCACGGATTCAATAGCATCTAGCCCCTCGTCAGAAAGACGCAGCCGGTAGCCTTGGCCACGGAATGCAAGAGAAGCATCACGCTCGTAGACGCGGAAAGGGATAGCGCTACGCCGAAGGGATTGGGCAAAAAGTAGAGAGGCAAGGCCTGCGCCGGAAATGAGAATTGGGCGTCGAGTGGACATTACGTATACTGGGGATAGAGTGTAGACGAGGTTGTGTACAAAATCGTGCTGTGGGCGGCGATATAGAATATATACTGCAGTAAAGGCTGATTAATACACGTGCGGTTGATGATGTGATCAACGCCGCTAGGATCCCGTGCCGCCCGAAAGTATATCTAAGTCGATGACAAAGAACCTGACTAAGACGCCAAACCCAAATAAGCAAAAGCAGCAGCAAGTTCGCTGTCGATTCTTAATGTAGTCAACCGGCCCAATATAAAAGTGTCTTCTCTAAATCCGCTAGTAAATCAACCAAAAACCAAGGATGGCCCATTGCCGTTGGGAGTGCCCAACCTGCATCTCTTAATTCCTCGGCCAAGTGATATGAAGAGCGCGAACCGATAAGAGTCACAATAGGTTAGAGGACACCAACAGGAGTCGAGAGACAGGCATTTCCCCACCCACTGTTATCCTCGAAATTGGTCCATACAGTCTTTTGGTCTGAGTGTGGGGCCATAATCCATAGAGCGACAACAAAGGCCACAAATGCAGAATTGTAAAGTAATAAGCCGAAATTTAAATGATAGGAAGCTTATTGACGAAGCTTGTATTCCACCACTCGCGAAGAACGTAATGGCAATTCCGAGGAAGGTATCATGCCATCCTTGAGCCATCTAGTATGATATACTCAGTGTTATCAATCTGTCAAGTTGCTGCGCCGTACTAAGAGCAACAGTGGCCATAGCAGCCTGCCATCCGATAACACACATCCAACCTGTTCCTCTTATGTCAGCTTTGTTATTGTGACTGGGAAGAAAGGGGACATACCAACGAGATAGCTAAAAGCTTTCTGGTGTTGTTTTGAGGCCAATTCAGAAACCCAGTGACACTTGCCGTAGGGCGTGGGCGCCCTTGTTCTATCTGTCAGTAGTCGGAGACTACTGACGGTACCTAGGTAGAGACATTTCTGTGCGCAATTTGATGCCATCTCGGCTATGGATAGCATGGGGACTGGGCTTTCTAAGCACACTGAGGCCTGGTTGAGACCATGTGCAGGAATGGAAGAGCAGGGCCAATTTGCTTCGTCAAGAAAATGGCGTGCGCTATGCTGGTGGCTTGCAGCAGGAAGGGGTGAAAGAAAGGAAGGGCGCGCCATGCTAACGCAATACAGCACCCGCAGCGCCCACAGGCAGGAGGCACCGTGGCAGGGCCAGCGTCGACAGCTAGCAGGCATCAAGCAGACAAGTATGCACACATACGAGGCAGAGTCTCCCACACGGAGTCGCTTACCTGGACAGTTTAGTCTAGGCGTGGACAAGTGCTGAGAGCAGAAGCGTCACGTCTTGACGGTGTATCTGGATAGCCACGGTATATTTTGTAAACAGACAAGGGCTTGAGCTGTCCGCGTGGTGAGCGAAACGAGCTCGAAGCAGGAGATGTCTCAGCACTGATGTCACGGACAGTCACTTTCAGCAACCCAGCCAAGTGTTTTCGTAGAAGGCATCGCATGTCGAGCACCTAGGTGTCGACGAGATGACAGATACAGTTGTATCGTCTTAGCCCAAGCTGCTGGAAGAAGGCTAGCAGTGGAACAGAGAGCGACTAGGCTGTGACCCCATTTGTTCAGCCATTTTGGGAAATGTCGAAGGGACGAGAAGCCCATATATTTGTGTCTGTGGCAGGGGTAGGGGCGGGCCAACGCGCTAGGTAGATGGCTACCTGGGCACAGTTATGGCTCTCAGCTGTTCAGAAGGTAGCGGCAGTTGCGCGATTTGAAGAAGGCAAAATAGAGCAGGCACTCAGGACACTAGGCAGACCTCAAGTGCCCGGCTTAGAGGGAAGAAAGAACGTGGGAATTCGGACAGAAATTCGACAACTATCTAAGAAACTCAGAGGCGCATGTGTACTTTAGTAAATATTCTCACATATGAGCTTGTGTTTGTTATAATAGTGGAAATGAATGACTTTCCAGGTAAGACTGGGAAAGTGAGCGGTGGCATAGAAAGCAACGAGAAATTCCCAATGTATTGATTCTCGCAAGACATGACAGGTCTCCATTAGCGGCCAGATGGCTCCCTCCAGCGAACGCAGATGGCATGGACAGGGACGAGAACGGGGACGAGAACGGCGATGACTGGACACACATCGATGACAAATGTCGCGAAGAAGACGTCGGAACGCCTCAGGTGGTTGCGGGGTCTGTGCTTTCGACATATCTATTCGAGTTGATGTGAGGGGTAGGTATATGGCACATTGTATGTCAGTGCACCGTCATGGGAGTCAGACATGCATACACAGAAGTAGACCATACCTACCCTACGGTCCATGGCTATCTTAAAGGTGAGGAGAGACTTTAATCTGGTTTATAGCGGTGGCAATAACGGCAGGCCTGTGACATGTTGCGCGTTTGAGGGGTGACTTAGATGTGAGTGGCTTTGGTGTTCGCAGAGCAGCAGGGGAGAGAAATATGCAGGACCCGCTTGCTTGCTTGCTTGCTCGGGGCCGATCAAGACACCGGTTCAACTCTGTGACAGGGGCGTTTGAGGAGTGGGGTAGATGTGAGCGGCTTTGGTGTTCGAAGAGCAGAAAGGGAGAGAAATATGCAGGACCCGCTTGCTTGCTTGCTTGCTTGCTTGCTCGGGGCCGATCAAGACACCGGTTCAACTCTGTTACAAGCACATGTATTTGTGAGCAACTACGTCAATCAGCATTGGCGCTTGTCATGGCGGTTTTTCGTTCAACCGGGAAAGAAAGCGTGACGTGGATGTGATCCTGCTTTCGGGGCATGAAAGTATATAGCAGTTTCTGCTTCCTTCATCGTTGTATATTTATGCTAGCCCCTTCACTCTCACCCAAGTCTACAGACAGCAACTTGAATCTATATTATTATAGCACCGGATATATCACTCCCACACCCATGCCTCCTTCACTAAAGATCGTTCTACCAAGTAGCGTTGGTAATGACATAACCTCAACCGGCAGTCTTTCGGGCTTGGGCGTCGCCGTAGGCACGGTAAGTCATCTGAGACTCGTCAACAAACAAACACTTGACATGATTACATCCGTGCCGTGGCTAATCAAACATTCCACCTCAGCTGCTTGTCCTTTGGCGTGTTGGCCTTGTCGTTTATCGTCTGTTCTTTCATCCCTTGGCCAAATATCCAGGTCCCAAGCTTTACGCAGTATCCAACCTACCTTTTCAATGGAAGTCCAATATAAGTGGCACACTTACGCTCGAATCTAAAGCCTTGTACGATAAATACGGGCCGATTGTGCGTGTGGCGCCAGACCATCTGTCGGTGGACGGCTCTATTGCCTGGCCACAAATATTTCAACACCGGCCCGGCAAGACCGAATGGCCTAAACAACGCGGTTTCTACCACCCAGGCGACGAGGCTAGCCTAAGTTAGTATCACTCTTCTCCTGCTACAATCCCACGATCTCCATGCTTTGGAATATCCCAGGATGTATTACTTGAGGACCCATAGCAGGAGACTAACGCCTACCAGTCGGCGGGACCCATGAGAACCACAAGCGGTTGCGGCGCCAGCTTAATCATGCTTTTAGCACCGAAAGCATGTACGAACAAGAGCCAATTGTACAGAAGTACATTGATCTTTGGCTCTCTCAGCTGAGCAAGAAGAGCGGCCAGGTTTTCGATGTGATCCCTTGGTTTAACTTCTTGACATTCGATATCATCGGCGATCTTGTGTTCGCCGAGAGCTTTGGATGTATCAAAAAAGGTGGCTATCATCCCTGGGTGTCGGCCATTTTCGAGACCGTGGTCGCTGGTGGCTTCTACCGTGTTAGCCAGCAATTTCCCTGGCTTCGTCCGCTCATGAAGTCCCTCGGTAGTTCGGCCAAGTCCCTGAAATTGGAAGCCGAGGGCCGCAAATTCGCGGCTGAGAAAGCCCTGGCGAGAAAATCTCAAGGCGAAAGCCCCGGAGGCCGCAAGGATTTTATGACGTATATGCTTAGAAAGAATCGCGACGGCCAGCCGGGGTTCCAGGATAGCGACCTCATTACCAATACGCCCCTAATCATCTCAGCTGGCAGCGAGACAACGGCAACTGCGTTATCAGGACTGACATGGCATCTTGGACAGGCTAAATACCGCCATCATTATTACAGGTTGGTCAGCGAGATCCAGGGCGCCTTCGCCAGTGAGGCTGAAATCAATATGAAAACTACTGCTCGACTGCCATACCTTATGGCCACGATTGATGAGATCCTCAGAATGTACCCACCCGCAGCGCAGACCCCTCCGCGGGTCAGTCCCGGCGCGGAACTCGAAGGGGAGCACATTCCCAAAGGGGTGAGTAATAATCAACACTACTCGTCCTCTACCATCCATCTTACGCCCCCTGAACGACATTGACACTGTCCTTTCTTGCACTTTATACACCTGCTTCCTTAAATCCGGTCAAGGCAATCTCAAAACTGACCGTACTGTGCATGTGCAGACCGTTGTCACTGTCTTCCAGTGGGCGACATACCATAATGCAGACAACTTCCACGACCCAGACAATTTCCGGCCGGAGCGATGGCTACCCGCGAACCATGAGCTTTATGACCCTGTCTTTGCCAACGACAACAAGCAATGCTTCCGTAAGTATCAGGCATATGTCTAAACCCTTCGTCTCCCTATTGGCCATTCTGTCGCTCGGTCTCAGTCTTCCTTCCGGCCCTATTGCCCCACCCCCCCCCCCCCCCCCAACGGCAAACCCCATCCCGACGCCCCACTTGTATAGACATCTGCTAACTTGGACAACTTCTAAAAAGACCCTTTCAGCTTCGGCGTTAGGGATTGTGTGGGCAAGAATTTAGCTTTATCTGAGCTCAGGGTGGCTATCTCTCGCTTGTTATACCGCTTTGACATCGAGCTTGCGCCTGGGCAAGAGGACTGGCTGGACGATGGTCGCGTACTGGTTGTCTGGGTGAAGGACCCGCTAAGGGTGAAGCTCACCGAGAGAAAAAGTATACCACGCACGTAAGAAGTTGCCGGAGCAGAGGAAGGGCGG